GTTGGACTCTGGGGGCACCTTGTCTGACATGGTCAACAACTGCACTGGGGCCCAATTATGAAGTCCTCTGGAAGCTTCCTGAAGGTTGCTGGAGAGGAGACCTCCTTCCACTTTGGAGCTTTAGAGATCCAGACTCTACTATAGTTGCTGCTGGTGTGATGGACAGCAAAGGTGCTTCAGAGAAGGGAGGGACAAGGTTGAGGTCACCATCTGGTCTTGGATAATGACTTAAACGACATATCCTGAAAACCAAGCAGCACCCTTCTAGACTTCTGGTCCCATACAATAGACTATGGACAAGCAGCCCAGGTCTCTCAGTCTAGCAGAACAAGGCCATGGCTTAGCTCTTCATTCCTCTTCCCACTGTTCCTTCCATCTGGCACATCATTGGCACAATTTTTTTTGAGACCTCCATTCAACAACTCCCTTTTTAGGAGTTTTTCTAACTTTCTCTCTTTTCTCTTGGAATCATCCCCTCCCATGTGCTGCAACAGGCTTATTGCACTATTTCCCTCAAGAGCAAACACCACAAGGTTCTCTTGAAGAATCTGTCTGCCTGTTGGTCTCACAGTTATGGCTGTGAATTCCTGGGGAAGGGGGAGGAGACTGGGAGGGGCGGTTCAAGAAGTAAGGCTTCTCTGGGCCCAAGGCTCCAGAGCCAGCAGATCCCTCCAGAGTCCAACAGCTGGTTGTTCCCCACAGAGCGCCCTGCTGCCAGCCACTCTACATGTCTAGATGCTCCCCCCATCACCCCGTCCTACTTTCTTTACTGAGCCACACTTTCTGTGATGGCCTGCCTGTCCGGCTGCCCCTCACCACCCAGGGGGAGACAGTTCTCATGCTTGGAGAGTGGGAGGGGCTTCAAGTCCTTGGGAGATGGAATGCAAGCCAAGACCAAATCTCCCTGGAGACTGAGAATGCAACCTGGAGCTTCCGGTTCACAGCTTCCACTTCCTCAGCCCAGAAGGCTGAGGTGTGGGTTGTATGGAGGCCTTCCCCAGGTGGCAGCTCTGCCCCAGGGTGGGTCCTCAACTTGTGAGGCATACAGAGCTCTGAGTCCATTTGGGCCCAATCCAGCCCCTGTAGGAAGACTCTCAGGCTGTGTTCCTGCTTACCAAGCCCCTCTTCGCAATCTGGATTTGTGTTAACCAGGTCTTATAGCCCTGAGGCTCCTAAAGGTAGGGTTCAACATCTCCTTCCACCCTGAAGGGTTGGAAAAGGGGTCCCTACTTGTGTTGGGGTGTTTCCATTTTGGGATACTCTATCCCTCCTCATGAGGTGAAGGTAGGTAGGCAACCCTGTCCCATAAGTGCCACAGAATGGATGGCCCTTAGTCCCAGGAGGGTCAAAGAAGCCAAGGATGAGCTATGTTGTACTTCCTTCGCATGAGGAAGATGAGCCAGGGTGTCTGGAGAGGAGATAGCAAATATCCCTGTGCAGCCACCAGGACCACAGGCAAGAGAAGTTCTAGACCATGGCAGATAGAATGAGGGATGGAGCAGGCAAAGACACGAAAGTGGTGAAGGGACAGGGGTAGATGGACAGAGGGAGAGGGATGCAAAGAGAAGATAGAGAGGGAGGGAGAATAGAGGAGAGAAGAGGGAGAGGATAGAGTTAGAATGGAGAGAAGAGATAGAACAAACAGAAAATCTGGGAAAGACAAGAGATACAGGAAGCAGGCTGGGAAACTCATAGCAGACAGAGGCCAGGCAGGCCACACACAGAGGGAAAGTGGAACAGAGATACACACCTGGAGGGGCTCAGAGCAGTCTATGTACAATGGAACTTGGTGCTCTGCCCATAACAATCATGGCTGGGTTAACCTAGTTCCTTTCACCCTGAAGAGGGGAAGACGGAGGCTCAGGGAGAGCATGTGACTGAAGCCCATATCTTATGCATCAGATGCACCTGCTCAGGGAGGCCTCTCCAGGATGGCTGCAGGGAACCAAGAGAGTTGTGCAGAGAAAAAGGTCCCTAGCTGGTCACTAGGGATGGTGGCACTGGCAGAGCCACTTAGGGAGAGCAAGGGTCCCCTTGGTGGGCTAACTCTGACTTGTATTCCCAGCCAGGGTCCCCAAATCTGGTTCCTATGATCCTGTGGGTTCCCCAATGTACTTTTTTTTGTCAGTCATGGGGCCTGAACTTTAGGCCTGGGTGCTGTCCCTCAGCTCTTCAGCTCAAGGTGAGCACTCTACCACTTGAGCCACAGTGCCACTTCTAGCTTTTTTTGTTTATGTAGTGCTGAAGAATAGAACCTAGGGCCTCATGCGTGCAAGGCAAGCACTCTACCACTAAGCCACCTTCCCAGGCCACCTCCCATGTCCTTTTAACAGAACTTTCTGCCTAACTCAGCCCAGTTGTTCTCTGAGAGGCCGTGGGATAGCTTGGTCCTTGTTCTGTTACAGTTCTGTCACTTCATGTCTCAAGGACTCAGTTTCCCATATGGTCAGAACATTACCCCCCATCTCTGAGTGGAGTAAGGATTAGTACAGACATGCAGAAGGTCAGGTTAGGAGGAGGGAAGGGAGGACTAGAGGGGATATGTGGTACTGATTTGGTTCTGCATTGTTTAGCATGTCCTTGACCTCTAGACTAGTGTGTCCTTGACTTCTGGATAGCATGTCCTTGACCTCAGGCAAGTCCCTTTCCTTCCCTTGGCTTAACTACATCTGGAAATAGTCTCTGGGTATGCCTAGTCCAAGCTCTGACCTGGCCTCCCAAGCTTGTCTTTCACAACAAGAGATGCCTCTGGACACCCCCACCTAGCCAACTGCTTCCTGGAAATCACACTCAGGTTTACTTCCAATGCCAGCACATCCAGTGAGCCTGGTTCCATCCCTGGACGCCTCCCTACCTTCCCTCTCCCGGCCTAGTCATTTCAGTTCCCATGGGCCTGATTCAGAGCCACCTCTGCTGCACAGTGGCTGTTCTACTGGGCCACTGCAGTCACCTCTTAACGCTCTTCTCCCTCCTGGACCCTGGGACCCAGAGCAGAGCTTCTCTAACCACAAACTCATCCAGCTCCCTCCAACACCCACAGTGAGGCCCTCTGCAATGCTGTGCATACTCAACCTTCCATGTCTCTCTGGTCTCATCTCTGAGCTTCTTATTCTTCCCTTACCTGGAATGCTTCTGCTCTGCCTATTACATATTCACCTGCCAAATCCAGTCTTGTTCTAGAGCTCAGAGGTATAAGTCCTGTTCTTCCTGGCTGGAGACCTGAGTCTCTCTTACCTCCCGTAAACCCTCCTTGCAAACTGAATGTGTCACTCCTGGAGATAGTGTTGACATAGGGTTAATAGTGAGAGCTCCAGGCTCCCAGCCTGGATGGCCAGCCTGCATGGTTGCACAGAGCTAGTTAGAGCCCTGAGTGGTTTGTCCTCGCCTCTCAGCCTCAGCCCAGAGCTGGTTAGAAACCTGGATAGTTCCTCCCTGCCCCTGGGTCCCCCAACCCAGACCTGGTTAGAACTCTGAGTGGTTCCTCTGTGCTCTGAAACCCAGCCCAGAGCTGGTTAGAGCCCTGAGTTATTCCTGCATGCCTTAGCTCTAGTGTTTCAGTCTGTGCACCCATGAACATGAATACAGTGTTTCCTCTCAGGGATCATGACTTGGTGGTTTTGAGGCAAGTTTTCTGTGCTAAGCTGAGATGAAAGCTGGTTAGGGAGCTCTGCCTAAGCCTCTCCCCTCATCTGTGCACCCTCCCTGTATACTCCTGCCCCCTCCACAGGGCATTGCGACAAAGCCATCAGCCATTGTGTCTGCCACAAGGTTGACACATAGTGGGTGTGCAATAAATTGGTTGTCTAATACTGTGTGCAGCTCTTTTCTAAAGAGGAGGCCCAGGCCCTGCTCTGGGCCAGGGGTTGCTGGCTTCAAGGCTGGCTGGGAAGAGCAGTGCTGAGTCCAGGCAGAGTTGGAAGCCTGGCAGAGCTCCCTTGAACTGTGTGTGAGAAACTTCATGGTCACCATGGTCCTGGATGCCTTAGCTTCTGGGCTCAAGATGGATCAGGTCCTCTGGTGTCCACTGCCTATCCCCAAAAGCTCACAGAATCCTAAAGAGCAAGACCAGGGCAGAGCAAGAAGTCGTCCTACACACCTGGGTGGGGTGGACCTTTCTCCCATGGACATCTATTTTGATTGGGGGAGGGAGGATTCTCACTTCTTTGCCATTCCCACTGCCTCACCAGCAGCTTCTTCCTAGGAGTACCCGGCCCTGACCTGGCCCAGATTCCTCGGAGCTCCAGGCAAGTACAGTCAAGCACTGATGCCTGGTACTCATGCAGACACCACTCGCTTGCCACCAACCACTTCTCACCAAGAGAGCCCCAGCGGGGAGAGCTGTACAGGCACACATGCATGTATGTGCATACATGCATGTATTGCACACATGTACACGCCTGCACATGGGTATTCGCACACATGCCTCTGTGTGCCTGTGCGTGCTGACGCAAAGGCCGGACCACCATTCAAGTGCTGGAATGTGGAGAGGGCTTGCGGTTTGCAGAATGCAGGATTTCGATAAACAGCCTGGCTATAGTGGCAGGAGGGCTCTGCTGGTGGGGTAGGGTTTAAGAGGCTAAGAGCTCCAGGGTGCAGGAGCGGCCATTGCTGCACCCCAGGTAGGCTTGGAGAGTCAAAGATCTGATCGCTATTCACCCTAAGGTGCGGGGTTCGTGTATACACCACGCACTCCCTTGCATTATGTAAACAAAAGGATGACGCCCTAATGGGGGAATGAAAGCATTCCAAGAGGTTTGCCCCAAGAAGGGAGAACTGTTTCTCTCTCCTTGAGTGGAACTGGAGAACTGTAGGCAAATCGCACCCTTACGGAGGTTAAAAGCGCTACGAAGGGCAGGAACAGTAGGCGCGCCCCTAACTTAAATGTGGGGCTCCCACCGTATTCTGGCACCGCGGCCCCCTGAAGGATTCCAGACGCCTGTGGCCAAGCCCTCCCCGCTTCCCGCTCCACGCTCCTGGAAGGCCAGGACGAGGGCACTCACGGGTCGTGTTGTACTTGATGCCGTTGAAATACTCCGGACACGGCCTCTCCACCAGGACTCCAGCCGCGCTCTGAGGCCAGCACGTCCCGATTTGGTCCAGGGTCGCGTTGCAGTAGGAGCGAGGACCTGACGGCCGGAGAGAGCGGAATGGGGCTGAGAGGGGACGCCAAAGGCGCGAGGCGCCCGGGCTCAGAGGGGCCGCCAAAGGACCGGGGCGCCGCGGCTCAAAGGGGCCGCCAAAGGCGCGGGGCACCAGGGCGGAGAGGGGCCGCCAAAGGAGCGGGGCGCACGGGGCGCTCTGAGCCCAGGGGGGAGGAGGGATCCCGCTTCGCTTTGGCCCGGCCGCCTCCCGCCTACCGTCCAGGTCCAGGGGCGACCCCCAGCCGTCCCAGGGCAGCTCTTCGGCCAGAGCCAGGCTGCAATTGGCCTCCAGCAGGCTGTGGAACAGAGCCGCGTCCATCGTGCTCGAAGCAGAGCGGAGGGACTGGGAGTGGGCTCCCAGAGTGGAGTCGGTGGAGCGGGTGCGAGGGTCCTGGCCCAGCTGCCTCTGCCCTCGCCTGGCGGGCCACCCCGGGCCTCTGTACGGGAGTACTGGAGATGCGAAGCCAGGACCTTCCTGGAAAGGGGCCGCGGAGCGCACGGAGCTGCGGAGCGCACGGAGCTGCGGAGCGCAAGGAGCTGCGAGTCCACCCCGCTCTACCGCTGCCAATGGCGGCTCCAGGGGGCGGGGCCGGAGCTGTTCAGCGGGGTTGCCCTTCAGTCCCCAGTCCCACGCCCAGTGAGTGTCCTGGCTCTCTTGTCCCTGGGCGGCGGGGCTGGTGAGCTTCCGCCCCGTCCGACAAGCGCAGGCTCGTGGGCTGCTGGGGCAGCAAAGCGCCTGCTGTTGGAACCTACTCAGCCTCCCTCGTCGGGTCTGGGACAGGGACGCCGCCCCACCAGAGTCGGCTCTGCTCCCCAAGCCGGTCACAGGGACCGGTCGTGGGAAGAACAGTTCAGGGTCAGATTTGCACCTTGGAAAAGACCTATATAGTCTCTGGGAAGGAAGTGAGTGGGAGGGGTCTGGAAGGGAGCAAAGAGGCCACCAAAGAGACTCTAGAGAGGTGGACTGGCCGAAGACCTGTGCCAGCCGTGGGAGCCGGGATGTGGACATTTCCCAGCATGAACTCCACCTGATGAGGCATTGGTCATCTGAGGCCAGGGACAACACTGGGTCCTCATTTGGGTGACTGGGGGTTGGGGAGGTGGGGAGATAATGTTGCAATTTGACGAGATGGAGGTGACTAGGGGAGAACTTGGTTGAAATCTGGAAGATTCCTGGCAGCCCAGTTTTAGGGCCCTGAGCACCAGAGAGAACACAGTGAGCTGTGAGAATGTGTCTTGCTTTTTCCTGGCTTGGGCAGGGCCATCAGATAGGTTGTTGTGCCAGGAGAGGACACCAGGCCCCACGACAGGAATTCGTGAGCCAACACTCACTATGGCTCGTCGGCTTACCCTCAGTGCTCAATGTGGACTTGCTGTTCGTGTGTGTTAGATGGATTAGGGCTCAGGTAAGGGCCCTGGGTGTGGCTTGCTCTAACTGAGGCTGTATTTTTCTCCTGGCTCCCCTCTCCCCCGGTCATATTATCCCAGGCAGTCTTGCTTATTGTCAGGAGTTTTTCAATCAGTGTTCTCTGAGGGTTGCCCCATCCCCAGCCCTGAGACTTGTCTGTCTCCTTCCCCTGCTGCCTCCATTGGGAATCAGTGTACTAGAGAAGGCAGAGACCACCCTGTGCCAGCCCTGTGCCCTGAGTAGAAACAGGTAGAAAGCAGGCTGCTTATAATTTCCTTTAGTTTTTACAAATAGGAAAATGAGGAGGGGATTGAAAGAGACAATATTCTGCTCACGTGATTAAATCCAACTATGCATAAACAAAAGTTGGGCTTTTTGCTTCTTAAGGAAACAGAATGGAAGGGAGAACCATGGGAGGGAGGTGGGTTTCTGGGCTGCAGGTCAGTCCCATATGAACAGGCCAGGCACAGGGAAGAAGGGTTCGCAAAGCCTGTGTGTCTTAGAGTGGTAGAGATAGGGGAAGGTAGCTTGCCAGCCTCCTTACTTGCTGCCACTGCCCAGCAGAGTGAGTGAGCCTGCAAATGAACAGAATTCCAGGGCTGAGCCTGTCATCTCTCTAGGGCCTGTCAGCTAGCAGCACCTAGATGCAGAGAGGTCATCAGGTCTGACTTTGGGCTTGGATGGAATTAGTGCCCCAGTTCAACAACGGGCAAGACCTCAAAGGCAAAGACCCTTTGGCATCACTAAGAAGCAGTGCAGTACAGGAAAGGAAGGTAGAGTCCCAGCCTGAGTCCTGGTCCTGATTAGCTGTAGCAGGGTTCCATTCCCAGCTCCCAGACTTGAGCCCAGAGAGATGGCTAGGTCAGCCTGTCTTCAATAGAAAGCACAGTGTCACTGGCAAGCCCTGCACTCCATACCACACAGCAGGAGCAAGGAAAAGGATTAAGCCAAGTTTAAATGGTTAATGTTCTCATCACCAGGTACTGGCCTCAGGAGCATATGTTTCTGGATGGTGAGCTGCAAGTTCCCTGAGGCCAAAGACACCTGGGTTTACAGGCAGGCAGATTTCTGCAGAACAGAGTGCTGGACTAGCCTGCTTCAACTGCAAGGCACAGGCAAGGCAATTTCCTCTGGGAAATGACCATTTGGAACCTTAAAGGTTCCAAAATGAAGGGCAATGGGTGGGAGCCTGACTGCACACCCATGGACTCACGGGCCCTGAGCTCAAAGATTCAGGCCCTTTCTTTGTGGATCTTATTAGAGGCACAACCATTATTCCAATGTAACAGGGAAAATCAGGAACGACATCAAGTTTGGAATAAATTGATTTATAATTTCCTTTAGTTTTTGCAAATAGGAAAATGAGGAGGGGATTGAAAGAGACAATATTCTGCTCACGTGATTAAATCCAACTATGCATAAACAAAAGTTGGGCTTTTTGCTTGTTAAGGAAACAGAATGGAAGGGAGAACCATGGGAGGGAGGTGGGTTTCTGGGCTGCAGGTCAGTCCCATATGGACAGGCCAGGCACAGGGAAGAAGGGTTCGCAAAGTCTGTGTGTCTTAGAGTGGTAGAGATAGGGGAAGGTAGCAAGGAAGTGTGACAGGTTCTTGTGTGTCACATGTAGCCTGGAGTGAGGCAGATGCCCCTGGTATCTGTGTCCCTGTCTTGGCCCACATCGGATGTCAGCTACTGCAGTGATAGCCTGTGGTGGTGGATGGGTCCAGGATTCTGCTTAGATACACTGCATTGTCTAACACTACCTCATGTCAGCCTGAAGACCAAAAGAGGCACCACTGCAGCGCTGTACCTCATCCTGACTGTATCACTCACATTCTGTCCACTACCTGTGATGATAGCTGGAGAACACAGTTTGTGAGTCCTGAGGAGCAGTCTCCTGAGAGACCTTGTAGGAGTCTACAGAAGAGCCAGGACCCAGTCATGGGCCTCCTGGGAGTTACAGTAGATCATATAGGCTCAGGGAAGGGCTGCAGTTAGCCCTTTCTAGCCCTGTGGCCTGGAGGACTGTGCTGTAGGTCAGACCTTTCCTCCACCCCAGCATCCACGCTGTACCTCAGGATTGAGGAGAGGCATGACATCTATGCCAGCCTTGTCACCACATCTCAGGACGGCCTTGAGTCTAGGTTGTGGGACCAGGGAGGGACTCTGTGTCATCCAGCTACACGGTTTCAATATACAGATGGGCAGTAGGGCACCCAGAGAAAGAACAAGAGTTTCTGGTATCATCCCAACTCATCATACCCATCCCTGCCTCGGCTCCTGGTTTCTTCCGTGTGGCAGATGGAACAATCTCCCACAATTGTGATCGTGTTTGCCTTTTTCACCAGAGTGGCTGTCCATGGCTCTCAAGATGGTACCCACTTCTTTAGCAATGTAAAGATTTTTTCCTGAGTGTCTCTCCCCATTCTTGCCTTTCTGCTAAAATTTAAATGCCTCTCAGAACACCTGTCAATCTTTTACCTGTTACCTAGACCTCTGCACTTGGCACACAAGCTCTCTGCTCAAACTGACTTTCCAACTGGGCACTCCAGCCTCCACCTACTCCTCAGCCCAGAAGATCACAACCCAAAACTGTGATCTTGTCTCTTCTATCCTGAGCGCAACTGGGGTGGGGGCTCCTCTGCCTTTCCTATCTGCAGGAATTGGTCTATGTCATAACATATGGACTTTCTTATCATATGTCTTAGCAATGGATTTTCATTGTCTCCTCTACCAATGTATGATCTGAGAGCAGGGCTGGACCTAGTGGCCAGAATGCACCTAGCATGAGCTCAGACACAACCAGGCCAGGCTTGCAGAGCTGTGGAAAACTCAGATCTCTGTCTCCCTGACCAGGCCCTCTTCCCCTCTGACCAGTCGTCCAGGCCCTCTTCCCCTCTGACCAGTCGTCTGTGTGTGTGTGTGTGTGTGTGTGTGTGTGTGTGTGTGTGTGTGTGTTCATGCATGCACCCACTCACACTGGACCAGACTTATTTCAAGGGAAAGTATGATCCATTTGGACCCTTAGGTTGTCTATGAACATAATATGAACATAATATGCCTCACAATAATACCTGATTATTTTTCAAATATTTGTAGATTCCTTTGTGATGAATAAAAGAGAAATGAACCATTAACAGCCTGCCTGGAGTCACAATTACTCTCCTGATCATAAGTATTTTCATTTTGGGGGATATCTGGCTAAACTGGTCATAGCCTTTGATTCATGACCCCTTGTCTTCATTAGTGCACCCGATAGTTTTTTTTTAATGGAATTTGTATGTAGAGAAGACTGTAATGAGCTAGCCACATAATTCAAAAGTCCTTGCCTCTATACTTCCAAAATCAGATATTTGGAGAGGAGAAGTTGAGGACCACTTCTTGTCTGATAGCAGCTGGATGCACTGTCCTTCACCCAATCTTCACAGTAGCCTCTGAGGTATACATGGACCTTAGTTCTAATGGATGAAATCATGGTAGATGGTGTCCACGGCAGGCAGGGCTATAGACCGAATGGCAGATGATGTTCATGGCAGACAAGGCTATAGACTGATAGTGTCCATGACAGACAGACTGGATGGCAGACTGTGTTCACAGCAGACAGGGCTATAGACCAGATGACAGACAGTATTCATGGCAGAGAGAGTTATAGATCAGATGGCAGACTGTGTCCACAGAAGACAAGGTTAGACTGGATGGCAAGTGGTATCCATGGCAGACAGCATTATAGACCAGATGACAGATGTTGTCTATGGCAGACAGTGTTATAGACTGGATGGCAGGCAGTGACAACAGACATAGCTATAGTCTGAATGGCAGATGGTGTCTATGGAAGACAGGGCTATAGACTGAATGGCAGACGATGTTCTTGGCAGACAGGGCTATAGACTGATAGTGTCCATGGAAGACAG